GCTGCTCTAAGGTCTCCCTGGAGCCTTCTCTTGTCCAGGCTGAACCAGCCCAGCTCTCTCAGCCTTTCCTCATAGGAGAGGTGCTCCAGCCCTCTGACCATTTTTGTGGCCTTCTCTGGACCTGTTCCAACAGGTCCATGTCTTCCCTGTACCGAGGAATCCAGGGTGTCCTGAGATGGTCTGGGTGCAACAGGGCCCCTGGGATGGTGCATTAAGTGGAGGAGCTCTGGTGTCAGGTCTGGTGGCACCAGGGGAAGCTGTGCACCCATCACCAACCCACAGCACCTCAGCTGTGATGGGCAGCCCTCCACCAGCCCCTGTGGCACCAGGGGCTCCTCTTGCAGCTCCTTTAACCTACACTCAAAATGCAGAGTGTGCTCCTTCCCTAGGCAGCTTTCCGGAGCGACCTGGCTCACCTCCTGGAGCTCATCGGCACGGGCAAGGAGTCCCTCAGCTTCATGAAGAAGCGAATCCAGCACTTGGCCCAGCAGTGGCTGCGGGCAGCTTGGCGCCTTGAGCAGAAGCTGAAGGGCCGGCAAAGGGACCAGAAACAGGTATGAGCAGATTGCAAGGCGGGAGTTCATGGTGTGGGGATGGAAAAGTTAAGCCTTTGGGAACATGGAGAGTGGAGGCTGGGATGTGAGCGAGCTGGGAGAAAGTCATTTATGGAAGCATGTGGGTCTGCAGGGTTGGTCTGTGGTTTCATTGGCATGAATGTGCACGCATTTGGGATGTTGCGGGACTGGTGCTGCTGAACAATGGGATGCATTTTGGAGGTGGGTCCTGGTGGTGGGAGACATCACCCATTGGCAGTGGGCAGGGTGTCTGACATCTCTGCCAGGGTGCCAAGGTTGTTGACCCTCCCATTCGTGTTTAGGTGGTGCCTTGCCCAGGAGATCCAGCTCTGGTTCATGGGACAGACTGTGATGTGCACTGGGAGCATGATCCTGAGTGCCAGCTGATGGGAGCTGGTAAACTCTGACTATTGGGTCTTTGCTAATTGGTCATAGATCGCTTGTCTTTACACCCAACTGATATCCCTCATTAGTTTCAGTGTGCAAAAGGAGCTGGAAGGAATCAAGGACCATAAGTCATTTTGGGCCAGAAACCCCAAATTGTCCCTTTTCCCCAGCACCACTTTTCCCAGCGCTGACCAGTCTCCTTGTCTCTCCAGATCTTGATCCATATCGGCTTCCTGACAGAGGAGTCAGGGGACGTTTTCAGTCCCCGGGTGCTGAAGGGAGGCCCTCTGGGCGAGATGGTGCAGTGGGCTGACATACTGGCTGCCCTCTTCCTCCTGGGTCACAGCCTGAGGGTCACGGTCTCCCTGAAGGAGCTGCAGAGGTGGGTGCTGCTGTGCTATGTGTGCGTGGTCCCCCCCAGGAGGCTCTGCCCTTACATGTGGGGGGTTACACTGAGGTCTTCCATGAAAGCACAAGGTCTGCAAAGGCTTGGGGTGGCTTTTCCCTTGCCTGCATTCTGGGCAGCACTGGTGCTGTACCAGTGCAAGTGTTGGGTGGGTGCAGACCACCAGCATCATAGCTAGGATCAATCCCATCCCTTCTGTGTCCCAGGGAAGTGGGAAGGACTGGTGCAAAGCAAGGCTTTGCAGCAGGATTTAGCATGGGGTGCATGTGGAGGTGTCTGGGGCAGGACTCTGCCCTTTGGTCCTGGTGCTGGATCTGGGCAGCACTAGTACCCTGTTGCCAGCATACATCATCACCCATGTCCCCTGATGCCTGCCTGGAGATGGATATGGGAAAGGCTCCATTTTACCCCCCATGCCCCAAGGATGCTGTCTGTGGGGTTGGTGGCCATGCAGCTGCAGGATGTAAGTGTCCTGCAGGTCACTGGCTATTCCCACCATGCATGGCTGTGCTCAATACCTGTGGCTTCACCAGCATTGTTTGGGCAGTGACTGTGCTTCCTTCCTGCCTGCCTTCCTGCCTGCCTGCCTGCCTGCCTTCCTTCCTTCCTTCCTCCTTTCCTCCCTTCCTCCCTTCCTCCCTTCCTGCCTCCCTAAACTCCCTTCTCTCCCTTCCCTCCCTCCCTCCCTCCCTCCCTGTTCTGCTGCAAGGCAGCTGAGGTGGCTGCCAGAAATAACCTGCATCCCTTGCTGCGGGTGGCATCCACCAAGGGGTCCCTTCTCAGGAGGTGCTGGTGGTGGCCTGGGGACCTGGTAAGAGGGAGAAGATAACTCTGTGCCGCGTTCCTCTCTGCTGATGTAATCCTGTTTCTACTGGGCTGACTCTGCTGCCTCCTGTAACCTCACAAGGTTTTTTCTCACTTCCTATGAGACATCTGGAGTGTATGGCAAGTGCCAGGGAAAATGCACATTAGGATGGGTTATAAACCGAGAAAAGCCTGAAGCTGCCTCTGGGACCGGGCAAGTTTGATGTGATGCTAAGCCAGCATCAGCCACGTACTGAGCTGTGCTGAAAAGGGAGTGTAAAAAACCAACAATCCTGTAATAAAAACAGCAAAACCTCCACCCCAGCCCCTGCAGCATTCAGAATTAATGAACAGAATTAGCTCCCGACTAATTAACTCAAAAAAAATAAAATAATCCTGGTCCTAATGTAAAAGGCAGCAGCTTCTCAAAGAGGCACGCATGCACCACGTTCATGGTGTGCTGAGCTAAATTAATGGGCTAAATAATCCTGTGTACTCAAGGATGAAAGAAGCTAATGGCTGGGAGGGGTGTGTTGTTGTGGTGGTGGTGTTCTTGTTTGTGGTTTTTAATGAAGAGCCTCACGGTGGTAGTTTAGTGAGGGGAAGGAGCTGCAGAGTCTTACCGGGGGGTGGGTAGTGGCATCCCTCTGGATTGGCTCTGGAGAGAGCTCCGTTGCTGTTTGTAGTATTTGGACTTTCTCAGAAGCACAGGAGCTTTGACATTGGTTGGCAGTAATGAGACCTCCTCTTCTGACATGAGTTTGAGTGTGTCCCATTCAGACCTATGACCTCCAAACCTCATCTTCTGACATGGTTTCCCTGGGATGCCTGGGAACAGCAGCTCCATCTCTTACCCTCATCGCTGCAATGGGGGATGTGCAAGCCAGGCTGGGACCGTGCATCTTGCACTTCTGTCTGTCCCAGTGATAGAAACCATCCCCGCCTCCCTGAGCACATCCTGTGCCTGGCTTTGATGACATTTGAATACTGGATACTCACGTCATGAGCTCCTGTCCATGTTGATGGGGCTGGGGCAAGCGGAGGCAGGACATGGGGCTGTAGCCAGGTCCCCTCTGTCCTTTTGCAGACCGAGCCCAGTGTTCACTGGGACCCTCCTGCAGTCCATCAAGAGATGGGTTAATGGGGGTGTTGGAGGGGGAGCAGAGATGTGTGTGTCCCAGGGGAAGCAGCAACCCTGCTGGGTGCCCACAGATCTCTCAGCAAGGTCCCTGCAATCAGGCTGGTATGGCATTAGTGATTGGCTCTAAGCAGTGCTGAGATAAGCTGTCACCCAACCATGAGTGTGTGGGAGGTTTAGCAGAACATGTGTAATTAATCCTGAGCTGTGCTAATAGTTAATCTTGGGCTCTTTGTTAAAGCCTGGAGGGGACTTCACCTGCAGCTGCAGCTTTGGGCAGGGATTGGTATGCAGAGAACCAGAGGATGTGTGAGGGACTGTAGCTGAGCTACAGGGAGAAGCAGAACTAAAGCTGCGTCACCATGGAAGGATCAGCCCAAATACTCTGATTTCTTACCCCTCTTGCCCCTATGCAACCCTCTGAAGCAGCAGGGCTTTGCTAAACTTGTCCTCTTCCATCCCTGGTGTCTCTTGCTGAGCTTGTAGTGGTGTTGGGGGGGAGTTGGGGTTATTTTGCTTTAGCAATGTGAAATGCTCAGTCCACTTGTTCATTTTCCTTTGATGCCTGGTGCTCCTTTCATGGCTTGGAGCTGTAGCTGCTTTTGCCCAGCATGGCCTTCACAGAGCAAACACTGGTGGCCATAAATTATTCAGCACGGAATAACCTCTCTCCTGGTTTGTTCTTTGTCTCTTCAAATTTCTGAGCTGATTTTTCTATGCATATTGATCATTGGCAAGGGATCACTGGCGGCTTTGCCTGCCTGCGCTTCAGCCAGTAGTTATCTGAGAGCTGTTCATTGTTAGCATCTATATTGATTGCAATGCAGCAGTGCCTGGAGGCAGTGGTCAGGTTTGGGTCAAAATGCTGGGGATCAGGAAAATGCGAAGGAAAAATAAGTCCCTGGTCCAAAATATCTGGTGATGGAGGGTTGGGGATGAAAACAGGTTAGGAGCATGACTGTGGTGTGCTGGGCATCTCTCCCTGCCAGTGGGCTCCAACGGAGAGAGCAGCAGTGAAGAGCAGGGGGGTTCAATGTTTCTTCCCTTGTTTTGCAGGATTGATGTTAATCCAGAGCAAAATCAAGCAGCTCTGGGATCTGCAGGCCTGCTCCATGGCTTGGCTAAGCACTGTCCACATGCCCCTGTGAGGTCTGAGATGGAATCCACTGAGCTCAGCCCTCGTTTTCCAGGGTTAGCTTATCTTTTGCCCATTGTAGAGCTCAAAGACCTGTGAATTCTGTTTCTGTGTCCTACCAGAGGCTAATTTTTCTCCTAGTGGAACTAAGTGCAGGTTTTTGTCCTCTTTTGCATTTCTTGGTGAATTTTTTAACTGCTTCTGATGCATCTTGAGAAACAAGGGGTGAAACATGGGATTTTCTGGTGGCTGGTGCATGTGCAACTCCCTGGGAGGAAAGCAAAGTGTCGAGCTGGAGCCGGGACCTTTTTCCACCCAAGGTTGATGGTGGGTGGGTTGGGGCAGTGGAAGGAATCAGCAGCATTTTGAACACTGTTTTGAAGCAGCGAGGGAAGAAGCATCCCAAATCTGAATGCAAACACATTAGTCTTGTTGAAGACACCTTGTGCTGCTTTGGTAGCCAGAATGTGCTTGCAGGGAAGTGAAAAGGTGCATGTGTGTGTGTGTGCGCTGCTTGGTAAAGGAGGAGTGGGAAGTGCCTGAAAGACCTGAGCTGGGTTGTTAATGAGGCAACTAATGATTAGATGTTGGAAAATTGCAAGCAGCACTTCAGAGCCATGGCAAAAGCCTCAACAAGCCAAACCTCTTCCTCTGGAGCACCCTTGCCCCATGGGGAGGGATGTACTTAGCCTTTTCCCCCAGGAGAAGGGGTACTGCTGGGACCTTCAGCTCCTACCCCTGTCCCTAAGTCATGGGAATTGTCATGGTGGCATCTCCAGCTGCTTTAGTGGGGCTAAGACTTGGGGAGCGGGGATGTAGTGCTGTGAGCTGCTGGAGCTGCCAGGAGTATTGATCTCAACAATGCTGAGAGGTGTTTTTTGCAATGGTCCCCTTGAAATTAACTGCTCATAAGGCAGGACAGAAAGTCGAAGAAAACAGGATTTGATGCCTCGTGGGGTCAGAGCTTTACAAAGTGTTCTCGGAGCTTAATTGCTCTGGTGCTGAGTTCTGGACTCCTAATACAGGCCCTGGCAAGGAACTTGATTTTCAGCACGTGCTTGTATCCCATGCTGGCAGCCC